AGTCTGCTTCTCCTTCTGACCCTCCCCCCTCTCATGTGCTTGCTCTCTCTCATTCTCTCTCTCTCAAATAAATAAATAAAATCTTAAAAAAAAAAAAAAAAGTCAGCAAAGAATATCAACAGGCAGTGACCTGAAGACCTTAAAGGCTAAGAAACATATAAAGAGATGCTCACACTTCTTGTAGAGAAATGTAAATTGGAACAACCATACAGTCTCACTTTACGCTCAGCACATTAATAAAAATTAGGAAGCTGGATAATGCCAAGAAGTGCCAGAGATTCGCCTTTGGGGGTTTGGGGGCAGCCTTTCTTCAGAAGAAGAGCCTGGCTATACCGGATCAGATTAGGCAAACGCACCGTCTGCGATCCCACTATCCTGCTCCTCCGTGCGTGCCCCGAGAGATCATCCGAAAACGATTAAGGGGACATGTGCAAAGACGCTCGCCCCAGCGACGTTTGCGCAGCCAGAGCGGCCGAGCCGCAACGCCTGCGCATCACTGGAGGCGCGGGTGGGAACACGGCGCATGCGCACAGGGGAGGTTGTGCAGTACCGGGAAGGAATGGATTAGAGGGATGCAGGGCGGCATCAATGGGTCTTTAAAAGCGTGATACTTAATAGAAAAAAACCTTTAAATTAAAAACCATGCCCACTAAGCAATATATGCTTCAGACACACAAATAAGTTGCATGTCACAACACAACATGATTGCTGATCGTGAGTGGAGAATGGGAAAGAGAAATGAAGACAAAGGGGAATAAGAAGATAAAAGAGCAAGAAAGATCCATGCAAAGATAGAAAATAAATGCGCTGAACTGAGGAGTATGAGTAATTTAGCCTCTTGCACCCGAGGCCTAAAGAAAAGTTAACAAGGGGCGGGTAAAGGCGCAATGGGCTTGACAGAAGCTGGAAAAGCTATTTCCCAGCTGCAGGTAACTTGGGTGCAGACTGTCCAACTGTTGGAAGGAAATGGTTTTCCTAGTGGTCAGGGGTCCCTCCCACCCCCCACTCCGGAGGAGGCGTCAGGAGCTGGGCTGAGGCCCTGGGAGGGGAACCGGTGAGCGCGGGGGTGGGGGGCTGCTGAGTCTCCCAGTGGCGGTGCCCGAATCCCGGGGCGGGGGGGGGCTCAGCTGAGGGGGTGCTGAGGCTGTTACCACAGGTGGAGGCCTCATTCGTGCTCACGGTCCAGCAAGGCGGAGGGGACATTCAGGGAAACACGGTAATCCTCGTATGTCGTATAGAATTTCTTAACCAAAACCAGATGATAGATATGTTGTGTAACATACTTTCAGCATGAAGCAGCAGGCTGTCAACACTTCCAATGATATTAAATGTTCTAGAACACTCTCATGGTTTTATGGGGTCCGTGCAAGTTACTTATTGCTCAGGTCCAGGCCCCACCCTCCTCTGCTCTGTTCAGTTTCCCTCTCCAGCTGGTTCCCTGCCAGGTTCCACCAACGGAGACACTGCAGAAAACTAGATGGGAGGGTTACTTCTAACCACCCTTCCTCCCTGCATATGTGGTTCCAGCTCCTGCACCCCCTCCCCAGCTTTTGGACTCTGGTCCAGCCAGTGGGATAGAAAGGCTGTTTTTTGGCATTGCTAATCTCTGGATTGCATCTCCACACACTGGCTTCTCAGCTCTTTTATCACCTGTAATAACCAAGCCCCTGTCCTAAAATCTGAAATAACTGGCATGGATTTTCTTCCTGACCGGACTCTGGCACAGGACCGGCAGACTCATTGGATGGGGTGCTCCTTTTTTGTTATTATAAATCATGTAATAGTCAATACCCTCAAAGCTGAATCTTGGTCTCCAACCATCTGTGTTTGCTCTGCACAAATTTCTAGAAAATTACACAAAACATGCTTTTGATGCATATTGCCTGTTCCCCACCCCCCAAATGGTTGTACCAGCTTGCACTCCCAATAGTGTAGGAGATGCTTCTATAATTTCATTGTCAAACAGGGCTCTGTCCGTGGGGGTCAGTAAGGTCTAGTGAGGAAGGGATTGCCCAGGTTTGTATTTTGTTTATTGGACAGAGGGGAAAGGTAAGGAGAAGACAGAGGTACATGCTTTTTAGATGTTCACATAAGTAGGGGCTTTCCATCCTAAATGTGAATCACATGCCTACGGAGACCAGCCAGAGCCCCTGAGGCCTCTGCTAACAGCTCAGCCAAACTCCTTAAACTCCTTAGCCAGCCAGGCTTCTTCACTGATGCTTGAAAGCTAGGGGCTCAAAAATGGCCTAGGAAAGGTCATCTATCCTCCAGTTCCACTGGAACTGAGTTTCTGGGAAGAGAAATAACATCTGGGGTCAAGACCAAGTCTTGGCCACATTCCTGCCAGGCAAGTAAGTACATACAGTCAAAATCGAGATACTCATTAATTATTCAGACCAGCCAGGAAGTACTAATATGCCCCAAAGACTGCACTCTTAAAAAAAAATCCTCATGAAGCACACATTGGATATTTTGAAAAATGTTAAAATTTATTAATAGTTAACATCACATAGTTAATTCAACTAGCTCTTTATTATACATGACAACATCTTTACTAGACTGAGTGCTCAAAGATTTGAGAATCAACACATCCCAGTCAAAGATTGAGATTCACTGTATTTACATCAGGCAAAGCAGCATCAACAAGGAACTGTCACCTAACTGTGGGAACACAGACATTCAAAATGCATTTTCCTTTTTGGAAACCAACAACATATCTTGAATAGCCGCACACACAGCTCTACCTTTAAAAAAAAAAAAGGTGCAATTTCACAGACAGTGCCTAATTTTCAAGTTTAAAAGTGAAAATTCATCTCTACTTCTTGGGCATTCTTTAGTGATCTGTAGATCTAGACGTTGTTCTCAGTACAAGTGTGATCAGTGTGCCAAGTTGGGTGCTATCGAGTCCTGTCTTTCCTTCCTTGTGAGCCTCGATTTCCCACTCAATAGTGTTCTAGGGTCATTAGTTGCAGGGTGTGGGTGTGCATATTTTAGGGAGGAAGTGGCGTTCAGATTCAGAATTAACTGCACTCCTGAAAGGTAGAGCGTGGAAGATTTTATGCCACCCTACTCCCCCCATCCCCACCAACAGTTTGAAATAAATACTGTGTATAAAAACAGCTCAGCCTCAAGAAGCCCTCGGACAATGCTTCTTGGAAAAACATTTACAAAACAGACCAATTTGGCTAGGAGGGCACAAATCTGCCTTTAAAAGTGTTGTCCCTGAGGTTTTCTTCATTTTGATTGTTTCATTGTTTGGTTTTGGTTTGCTGTTAACAGTGAGACAGAATTTTTAAAGAAGTGCTCTTGGTGGCTTCCTTTATCTTCTTAGCTTAAAAATACTACTGACTACCCTAAGAATGATCATTCTTAAGCAATGAATCTGTCTGGAAGGATTCCTGTTTGCTTTGGTTAAGAGCCCGTGTACTGTTGCCCCAGGAAGGTCTAGACAGAGCAGCCTGTTTCTGTGGTTTCTTCGATCCACAGACCCAGCTTCCCTCACTGTGCCCTGCTTTCCATGTTTCCCAGTCTGCAGGTTAAAAAGGAGCCAGGAAGGAGCTACTTAGCCATTCACTCACCCTGAAGAGGCTTCCCTTCTCTTCCCGCAGGCGAATGAGGTATTTCTCGTAACCTGTCAGTATCTTCACCTTCCATCCTGTAACTACACAAATCTACTACGGAGGCCAAGTCTGAAAAGACCCTGTGTATTTATGTACATAACACATTGACATATAAATACATTACATACAACCAATCATTACATACAGTATCAAGGTAAAGGAGAGGATGTACTTCATGAACTAAATAAATTTCAAACATAAATTAAAATGAAAATAGAGTTGTTTCCACTTCTGCAGGAAAAATCTTAAAAACAGACCAGGAAGTCTCCCCTGCCCCAGAGGTCCATTGCTCATGGATGACTCAGGAACCCACTCATGGCCTTGGTTTTGCTTTCTCGGATTCGGGATGCTTTAATTCCAGGACAAGGCTCCGCTGGAACCCACCAGGCTTGTAAAGGAGGTTAAAGAGGGGCTGCCACGTGGCTATCCACGGACTCCTCCCCCCCCCCCCCAATGCTGCCTCTCCTCCTGCCCCTGCCCCTCTGCCTGTGGGAGAATCAGGCTCAAGTTAGTGGAGATCCCTCCAGATTCAGAGGAGACACAGTATCAGCCTCCGTGCTGGGGAATGCTCTTCACCTTAGAAATACCATGCTCAGGGTCCATGGGGAAGCCACTGTATCTTTTCATTAGTGTCCCCATCCTGTAGGATTATGCAGGGACATGGAATTTGGCCAGAGGGGTGACTAAAGGTTAAAATTTGTCTTGAGTTTTAAAAGAACCAGTAGGAATAGTTGGACAAGTATGACCAAGTCCTTACTTCAAAACATATGTATCTCAGGAGGGCCAAGGCTTGGGCACTGGGCTCAACAGTGAGAATCCAGAGACCACACCCAGTCCCACAGGCTCCTCTCTGCCAGGGAAAAGCCCAGGGGCCTGTCTCTGACACAGAGGATGACATCTTATAATTTAAAGCAGGGAAGAAGGGGAATGAGAGGAAGTCCCTTCCGGATTTCAGGGACTCTATCGCTGGCCAGCCTCGCGGATGCGGCAGGCCACAGCAGTGATGAGAGCCGCCCCCTTCCCGCTGCCATCCTCTGACTCCAGGAAGGACACGTCACATTTCGGAGCCAGGTCCTTCACCGTCTCGTGCATGACTTTGGCAAAGCTGCAAGCGTTGGGAGGAAGACACAGGGGGAGAAAACACCTTAGTCATGATTGATTTGTGTCCCCCGAGGTGAGATCCTAGAAGTGATGCTGGAAGCCCAGGAATTATTAAGATGAGCAAAAGGATGACAGCTACTGTGTATTAAACACTCACAATGTACTATGTATCAAGGCTTCGAGAGGCTAGCAACATGCCCAAAGTCTATGTCACAGCAGGCAAGTGGGGAGCTGAGAGCCACTGGGAGTCAACTGTCTGAGATTCTGAAGGTTGTGTTCCGAAAACTCATCAGTGGAAGAGAGGGTCAAGGGTCACGGGCACCACAGGTGTGCCCTGCGGAAGTGCACAGCCTGTCCACGAACTCTGGAAGGAAGACCAAGCCCCGTGCACGTGACACTTCATTTTCCAGGGGTATGGACTCATGTAGATCCACATCTAATCCAAAATGTCATTAAAGATACAAGGAGCAGGCTCGGGGGGTTACTGTTGGCACATTATGGTGATTGTAGAGCCTTTCAGTATGGGATCAGAGAAAGAGATAGGCACCATGTCCCCCAACATAACAGGGTCAGGATGTCCTCCTCATCTATGAAACAAGCCGCAGTGCCAGGGGCTTGACTTCTGTCCCCCTCCCCACTCTCATCTGGGACCAAGATTCCCACTTATGAGGCACTGATCATCAAGAGAAGGAACTGCAAGTTTCTCTCTTTCCAGTAACTGTATAAACTTTGGGCAAGTCTCTCAACTCCTCGAGACGGTCATGGTGAGAGCAGGCAACATTTCAATTGAGGAGTCTCTCTATCCTCACTGTCCCACCTATTGCCCAGACCAGGGTAATAGCTCTATTCTTTTAACTTTGAGCTGAGAAGCTTCCAGGGGAAGGGATTGGGGCACTTCCTGAATTCAAAATGATTTACTCAAAACATATGCAAATGAGTGACGAAGGGAGAGGAACAACGGTTGATGAGAGAAGAGAGATGGAGAGACAGGGAAAAGTGTAGAAAGAATAGGGAATTCAGTGCTTCCACACTGGGGGGGGCGGGTTCGAGAGACACGCTTTCTATAAAGAGCCAGACAGTAGATAGGCTTTCAGCTCTGTGGGCAACTACACTGCCATTGTAGAGTGAAAGCAGCCAGAGACAACACATACATCAATGGGCATGGCCGCATTCCAATAAAACTTTATTTACAAAAACAGTCGTGGCTCTAAGTCCGCCAGCCCCCGCGCCGGACTGCAGAAAATACCCCACTCCGGAGTTCCAGCATACATTCCAAGAATGTTCACAGGAGCACTGTCTGTAACAGACAAAATCTAGAAATAAGCTAATATCCATTAGCAGTACAATGAACTATAGTATACTCATTCAGAGGTATGCTCCACAGCCCTGAAAATTCACAAACTACAATCCCATACTCCAGTGTGGATGCATCTCAAAACTGTACATGCTGTGTGGGAAAAGCCAGTCCCCAAAGGAGAGATGCCAGAGGATTCCCCTGACGGCAGTTTCAAATCTAAGGAAAACCAAACAGTAGCGATTCAAACACAGATACACAGGGAGAGACAGCTAGGGACCGAGTCACCAGAGTACCTGTCCCTGGCAGGGGGCAGGGGTGCAACCCTGAGTCCTCCAAGCTGGGTGGTAAACACAGCCCTACTTCTGGGTTTTAACCTCTAAACTAAAGCGTCTATGTAATATACACTCATTTGGAATGCCGGGTGGTTTGCTATAAAATAAAAAGAGAGAAAGAGAAGGCAAGGAAAGAACAGATGGCGAGAGAAAGATGGGCAGGGGGAGTGGAGGTCAGGCACTCACTGAGGGTGTAGCTTGTAGAGGGTCCCATCCACGCCCACGGTCACTTTGAGGGTGTCCAGCCCCCGGTTCTCTCGGATCTTGTCCACCACGGCGGCCATGCCCGCGCCACAGAGCTGGGCTGCCCGCCGCGCCACTACGGTGCACACCTCTTTGACAATGATGCTATCGTCACACGTGCTCTCGAGCCCCAGGTGGTGCAGGATGGCGCGGACCTGCAGCAGGGCCAGGCAGTCACTGCGGGGGGGACACACAACAGCGAGGGGTCAGTCACATACACGAGGCGCTGGCGGCAGCCCCCGCCAGGTGGCTCCTGTTCTTGACCTCAGTCCAGGAAGCAATGCTCATCCCACTGGACCCCGCAGCGCCCTCCTGAGTGTGACGGGCAAAGAAACAGCTCCTGTTTCCACCTGGCCGGGTGAGGGGGGGCACTGCTACCCCACAACTGGTACTCAAGAGAACAAGACAGCCACTGTCTAGCTTTCCACTCATTTGGAAAGAACAAAGGCAGTGAGGATGCCTGTAGTTGGCATTTTCGGCTGCAAAGCTCTTTGCTACCCGTTTCCTCCGTGTTGTTCCCGGGTCAATGGGACAGGCTTCCGCTGCCTCCCAGCATAGACCCCTGCTCTATTTCTACCCCCTCCCAGGGTGGTCTGATGGCGGCTCGTGCAGACTTTATGAAACAAATGTGAATCGAATTGTAAGAAGAATATAAATCTTATCATATCAAGGGAACTGTCTTAGGACTCCGGAATCGGCTTCCTGCACGCAAACGGACACGCAAACTCGAACATCCTCTTGCGTCGCTGGTGCAGATGCCCTAGCGCCCCCGCTCTGGCGCTCAGTTGCCTCCTGTCCTCCCACACACCTGACAGTGACGCACAGAAGCCACTTGTCGAGGGCTCTGGAAGTCCCTGTTCTAATCTGGAGCCGGCTTCGCTGCCATTATTAGATGGGAGGAGGGAGGTTTTGCTTTAACGGATTTCTGACTGCCTGGCATGCCCGCCTTCACTCGATCCTGCTTCTCCTCTCACCGCGGCCGCAGTTCGAAGCGCCCTCCTGCCCGGCGCAAGGGCTTTAATAGGCTACACCCTCCATGCGTTCCAATTTACATCCTGTGAACAGGTTACCTTCCCACCTTTGATAACTGGCCTAAAACCCAACAATATTACTTTGCATGGGCTCCTGGCAGCTCAGCAGGACTTTTCATGCTTAAAATGCCAACTATCCATGAGTTACTTTTTTTATTTAAACAGTAGAGCTATGTCTCTGCGACCAAACTGACCTGTATATAAGCCATACCCCGATCTTACTTGAGCTCTGGAAATCCTTCAGCTTGTCTGTCCATGAGAGGGAGGACGCGGTCCCACCCGACCCCAGACCCAAATTCTCACCTCTCAATCTGAGACAGGAACTTGGTTTCAAAGATTCCCCTTGTCTTGAGCCGCTCTGAGATGCGGCCACGGAAGAGCAGCCCACGCTTGGTGAAATCGATGAGGATGTTACGGACAATCTCCCCCAAGTACATGCCGCTGATCATTTTCTCGAACCTGCAATGCAGATGACGTTCATGGAGGACGCATGTAGGAAGGGGTGATGCCCAGAGCATTAGCAAGGAGACGGCATGCAGATTCCCCTGGGTGGGAAAGGAAGTGCTACTTGATTCACTTGGGCAGGATGCCTGGTATCTGCACACACAGACCCACGGCCTTCAGTGAAACTGACCACAGCGCCCGCCTGAGGACCACGGGTTTCCTGGGGTCATCCCCATCTTCCGGGCTCATTACCTTCCAATGCTTACTCCCACCTCCTCAAGGAGGAAAACACACCCAAAGCCCACTTCTAAGAAGAGGGCAGAATGCTGAGTCTTAACCGTGAACTTCACCAGGCATTCAGCAGGCTTTCTCTCTAAGCCACGACATCATTATCACACAAGTAACTAGTGCAACTGGAGAACCCGTCTTGTCCACTAGGATTGAATGTGATTACTCAGTGGCTTGAGGGTCTTGTGGCCCTGCATAGTGCCTTTAAAGAAGTTGAGACCCCCAGGTTTCAACCAAGACCCCCAGCACCACTCCATCTTGTCTCACCCTTTGTTTCATTAATGACACCTGTCCGGCCCCTAGAAGCATTTTAGTCTGTGACCTCTACTCTCGACAAAAGTGTATTATTCTGCAGAACTATGGTCCCTGACCATATCCAGTTAGGAAACACTACACACATCTTCCCAGTGGCAAGTGTGCTGGATCTTACACTATCGTCGCGCAGCTCAGAGCCCCTCCCCACCATCCTGGGGGCTTTGTGAGGCTGGGGCTGACCCCTGTCCAGGCCGGGCAACAGAGGATGCTACATACTGGATGGATGGAGGAAGAGATGCATTCCTGTCTGCTTCCTGTTCCTCTCTCTGCCACACCAGCTTCTTTACCGTACGATCAGCAGATGTCTGCTTTTCCTCACCGTCCCAGACCTAGGTTTGAACACCCTCTCTCCCGTTCTCACAGGCAGGGGCGGGCAGGCTGCTTCTTGAATTTTCTAGCTCTGTGCTCCTCAGTGTCCCCTGTTCGTCTAAAACCCATGTGACCGAATCCCTATAGGAAATGCTCCTCAGAACGAATATTATGACCTGTTTTCCCAAATGAACTTTGAAGGCATCACAGTCCAGCAGGGAGAGCCCTTTCCAAGGACATTTCCTCTCTTCACATCTCAAAAATGAGGGTCCGGGGATTTGTTGTTGCAGAGGATCTGACCGCTCGCCACCATGCAGTTTTGGGGTACCCGTACCAGGACCCACCCGCAATGGGGTACCTACCTCTGTCTGCCAGGGTTGAGGGAAAGCTCATCCACAGCCACATCAAATTCCGTGCGGAAGTCGTCGAGGCATCCGTTGTCCCCGAAGGCCCCCCACTCCATGTTGACACACATCCGGCCCTCCTCGCCCTCTACCAGCTCCACGTTCCGCATCTCCTCCATGTAGCAGGCGTTACTGCCTGTGCCTGCCAACCACAGACACGTCAGCGCCTTGCCGGGGACCGTCCTCCCTCCACCCGAGCCTCTGGGGCACGACGCAGGAATGGCAGCCGGGCCCTCACCAACGATGAGGCCGACTTCGCAGTGAGGGTCTTCATAGCCACAGGTCATCATAGTCCCGACTGTGTCATTCACCACAGCGACCACGTCCAGGTCAAACTCCTGAGGGGGCAAAAGCAGATCCCCGGTCCACCAATGAACCCCAGCATTTTTCTTTCAGACACTCATAAGGGAGATTTGTATGTTTGTAATTTATATAAGTGCTTTTTATACAGCATGGCTCATTCTCTCTTTTCATTCAGGTCCCTGCTCACATGTCACCTCCTCAGGGAGGTTCCCTGGTTGGGCTATTTAAAAGTGCCCTTCTCTAGCCCACTCACCCTGTCCTCACCCGACTTCCTTTTTCTTCCCAGTGTGGCAGCACCTGACACTAGCTCGTGGGTTTGTTTATAGCACCAGAGTTTGCTGTGGTCATTCCTGAATCCTCAGTGCCAAGAGCAGAGCTTGACACACAGGAGACACTCAGTCATCGCCGAAGGATCACGTTAATTCTCTCCCTGACCCATGCACCTGCACCCAGCATTTCCCCACTTTGTGACCACGGGTCATCCCAGGCCTCGTGGCGCGCCTGTCCCACCTCTCGCCGGTGGATGGCCTCCTTCAGCAGCGTGACCACGTCCTCTCCCTCACAGCCCGATGCCTTGAAGCCTTTAGTCCACTTGAGGAGGATGCTCTAAAAAAAAATCAGAAGAGGATATCAGAGGAGGGCTCCTGTGTCATCCCCGTGGCCCTGCTGTGCCTCCAGTCCCCAACCTCACCACCAAGTCGTACAGCCCCCTTCAATAACCAACCATCTCTCCCACACGTGATGGAGCATCATTTGAGACCTTGAGACCCCCAAGTTCGTTAGGTGTCTGTTCCATCATTTAATCCTCACAGCAAACTGGTGAAATGTCGTTATAATGCCCCTTTTCACTAACTGCAGCTCTGGGATAATCTGCTCAAGGCCTGAAGCTTGGAGGAGAGGAGCAGGACTTCCCCGCCCCCATCCGCCCCCCCAGGCCCGCCGACTCCATGGGCCCCTAAGCACCACACCAGTGCCCCTGCCATGGAGTGAAGTGTGTCATTCACTGGGAAAAGCAGTTTGCTCTGTCCTATCCTCTATTTACATCAGAAGTCAGAGTGTGTCTCTTAATTGTCAAACTCTAGTCGGGCATGAACAAGTGCGCTAACCGTAGGTGGGTGACACTAGGCTTCACACCACCCCAGTGAGGGAAGCGTTCTCGTCTCCTCACAGACCGCCCTAAGCCACTCATCTTTAATGTGGCCGGCTGCTGTGTCACGGGGCCCTCTGGGGAACAGATAGATACGTGGTGGTTTTACATGTGGGAGAACTGATTCACGTACTGTCCCCAGTCCCTCTCTGCTGCTGCAAGGGCTCATGGGCCCCTTCCTGCAAGGCCAGAATCCATAAATGGGCTGTATGCTCACTATCCACCCATATCCATGGTCTCTCCAGGCCTTGCCTGGCCTCGCCACGAGCTTGGCATTTTATGGCCCAGGTGAGTTTGGAACCACAAGTCAACCTGGATGTGTCACACTGTGCTCAGATCCCAGGAGATTTGGAAAAACAAGATACAATCCCAGCCGCATCCGGCTTTACATACCTACATCCTAACAACGGCATGCTCATCTCCACCTAACGGTCTTGCCTACAGATTAGCTTCACACCTCTAACGAAATTTTGTATTTGGCACTTTCAAGTTTACAGAATGATCAAATGACATTATTTCAGGTGGTCCTTAATAATGACACATGCAGAGGCCCCTGCTGCTGGGGAGACGTGCCCCAGGCCGCCAGGTGGTCGAGGCAGCTTGGGGTCTCTGGGCCTTGGCACCTGCTGATTTTCCACACAACAGGATGATCTTAGCAAAGCAGAATCCAGCTTACAGACAGATGGAATGACAGAACCCAGCTTCTGCTTCATCTGCTCTTAATTTATTTTTCAAAGATTTTATTTATTTATTTGACAGAGAGAGACACAGCGAGAGAGGGAACACAAGCAGGGAGAGTGGGAGAGGGAGAAGCAGGCTTTCTGCTGTGCAGGGAGCCCGATGTGGGGCTCGATTCCAGGACCCTGGGATCATGACCTGAGCCGAAGGCAGACGCTTAATGACTGAGCCACCCAGGCGCCCCGCATCTGCTCTTAATTTTTACAATGCTAGACTATATGTGTGCTCCCTGCAGAAACGTAGAACATACAGAATGAAATCTAATACAATGAACCTGGAATCTCATCATTCAGGTAGAAATATGAAGGTGTTCTTGGGCCACCGGATAAATAATTCACGATATATACGTGTTGGCATGAAAAGTGAGGTGTGTCTATTGAAAAATATTTCAGTAGGAAAAGCCTGGAAGCATGTGTACTGGAGTGCAATGTTCCACCTTCTTATGAACTGTGTTTTTTTCGGGTTTCTATACTGCAGAGACTATCTTTTTCTTAAAAAATGTTTGAGTCTTACCATCGGTTTTTTTCCCCTATCATTGAAATTTCTTCCAGGTTGCTCAGGGTGCTCAGAATTTTATCCATATTTTACGAGGCAGCAGGTTGCTCAGAATTTATTAACTATTTCCCAAGTGTTGAACAATGGGTTTGTCCCTGATGTTTTCATTATATTAAGCAATGTCTCATTAAGTATCACATAAATATGGATCTTCATGTTCCCTTTGGTAAACTGATGCAAATGGAGAAGGCTTTGAAAATCCAGTGCATTGAAAATCAGGAGAAAAAACATGTGTCGAGACAAAGGAATGAGAAAGGCTGGGGAGAGGGAATCAGAGGAAGGTGGTCAAACGTACAAGCTTCCAGTGATAAGGTAAGTTAAGTACTCAGGACGGGATGAACACAGCGAACACTACTGTACAGTGTATTTGAAAATCATGAAAGAGTAAATCCTAAGAGTTCTCATTACAAGGAAAAAAAACACTTTATTCTTTTTCTTGTTTTGTCTCTATAGGAGATGACAAATGTTAACTAAACTTTTGGCGATCAGTTCACAATATATGTAAGTCAAACATGGTGCTGGGCTCCTTCAGCTTCTACGGCGTGCATGTTACCATCTCAATAAAATTGGAAAAGAACAGAAAAGCGAGATGCAACACTGCCCTAGTAACAGCGGACACACAGTGACAGGTGTTGGGAAATACTACATTAGGCAAGGGTTTTCATTGCAGGACACCCCAAAACCTCCGCTGAACTGGTGCGCATGATGGATTCAGCTCTGAGGGGAAGAGGAGGAAACATCTACGAAACTCAGCTGAGCAACATGCAGGCTGCTGTTCTGGGACCCTGTGGCAAATGCTGGCCTTTCTTCCCCGCTGGACCGAGCTCCCTGTACCTGGGACGTTTCCTGCCTCCGTGCTCCCCCATACACAGCCAGGCCTGCCTGCATGCCCTTCTTCCCCGTCCACTCCTTCTTTGGACTTGGAAGCCAATCCAAGTCTCATTCATGCTCTCTGGGCGTGTGCTCAGGTTAACATCACTCTGGTACCCCACTGGTGCCCCGTTCCCACCGGCAACTCATGCCTTCCTGCGCTTGCTTCCTTGCCATTGGCACAGTTCGTGTGTGAGACCCCAAAGCAGGAGCCACGACTTCTGTACCCTGGCCACTCTGTCCACCGCACAGTGTCCATTTGTAAACGTGCGTGTACGCTTCTAGAGGACCGATGGAGACCGAGAACAACTGCTTAGACAATAGTATCCTAACATCTGGTATGCCGACTGTCAACCCAGAACAAGCCCAAGCATGGTACTCCGCTCTCCTCCGTTCTCAACACACCATGTCCGGAATATCTGAGCACACCAGCTCTCAGCCCACCTGCTTCACTCACGCAAGGCAAGTTGAAAAGGAATGAAAAGCAAAGCTAAGACTAGAGAAGCACTGGGGCACCTAAACAACAGGAGGTGAATGAAAATGTCCTGCAGGAGCTGGTGAGCATCCCTGAGAACATGGGCTCAGGTATCAGGAAACCAGAATTCAGTTCTTGGCTTGCCACTCCCAAGCCTTCTGATCTGGCACAAGATACTTGGCATCTCTACAGACTTTGTTTTCCTTTCTGCAAAATGGGCATACAAACACCTATCTACCTTCTATGGTCACTGTGAGGGTTAAATGAGATAACACACATAGGAAGCCTAGCACTGTGCCTGGCATAAAGTACTATAAAAATGTTCACTGGGGCGCCTGGGTGGCTCAGTTGGTTAAGCGACTGCCTTCAGCTCAGGTCATGATCCTGGAGTCCCTGGATCGAGTCCCGCATCGGGCTCCCTGCTCGGCAGGGAGTCTGCTTCTCCCTCTGACCCTCCCCCCTCTCATGTGCTCTCTCTCATTCTCTCTCTCTCAAATAAATAAATAAAATCTTTAAAAAAAAAAAAAAAGAAAGAAATCTTTAAAAAAAAAAATGTTCACTGTTAGTATTTTGATAAGCGTCATCATCGTCTTCCCAAAGATTGTGACCTTCTTAACCTCTACCAGCTCCAACTGAATCACGCCCATCAACAGGCCCCTTGTCACGACTGCTTACTCATGCCCTTTTCCTTCTCTCAACTCAACTTTCTCCCTTGCTCCAAACCCTGGCTGGGGTAGGGTCAATAAAGCCCAGAGGCAAGGCCCCCCAGGGAGTCTGTTACCTCATCCAGGCTGTTCTGCTGGCAGGGGAAGGAGAAGGTGAAACCCAGAGGCAGGGACACGCCCTTCATGCCCATGTACTCAAGGAAGTCGGCGATGCACTGGACGATGTGGTCAAAGAGCTGCAGGGAGAAGTTAGGCTCTGAGGAAGGGGCCCCGGCCCAGGGCAGGGAGCCCCCCCAGCAGGATCTGGCCACAAGCTCGGGGGCTGCACTCGGGAGAAATGCACACTCAGGCACAAACCTGGGGGAAGACCAGGCCAGGGCCCCAGCCCACCTGGCCTTCCCTGGGACCTTGGCTGAGCAGAGAAAGCACTGTCCTCCCGGGCGAGACTTGGGTATCTACTGGGGTCCCCTCCCAGAGGCGCCACCCTGCCTTACCTCGTCCCCCGTGCCGTGCATGACCTCCTGCGGGATAGAGTAGATCTTGTTGTGCATCTCTACTCCACGCCGCTTTCCATTCCTCACTCGCACCAGCAGGACCCGGAAATTGGTACCCCCAAGGTCCAAGGCCAGGAAGTCACCTTTCTCTGAAAAATAAACCCGGGAAGGTGATGGACTGGAGCGTCACCACGTCAGCACCGCAGAGAGTGATGGTCTATAAAGTCCTTTCTCCTAAGGGAGACCTCTTCTGGCAGCCCTCAGCACCCTCAGGGGAGATGGACTGTGTGCTCCACCGAATAGGAAAGAAAATAAGATCCCTGGGACCAGAGCCTTGCTGCCTCCCTAGTGGTCCTCAGATGAGTTCACGTGGGCCAGAAGTCACAATGAGCTCTGCGTGACACCGGAAACTGTGATACGTGATACAGTACACTCAAATATCTAGGGGCGCTGGTGGGGGGCTCAGTCAGTTAAGCGTCTGCTTTCGGCTCAGGTCATGATCCCAGAGTCCTGGGATCGGCTCCCTGCTCAGCAGGGAGTCTGCTTCTCCCTCTCCCTCTGCCCCTCCTTCCTGCTTGTGCTCTCTCACACGTACACGCGCTCTCTCTCTCTCTCTCTGTGTCAAATAAATAAATAAAATCTTAAAAAAAAAATCTAAATGTGTCATTCGTGCTAAATCAAAGGCCACCTTATCTTAGCTTCTAGAATAGAGAAGAAACAGCAGAGTTCAACTCTTTAAAGGAAATCGAAGGGAAACCTTTTTACGTGAGAAAAGCCTCCTCTGTTGGGCAATCGTAATACTGTGCTACGTGCCTCAAACACACTCCTCACGCAGCCATGAGGAGGAGGCACTGCCTTTCCCTCTGATGAGGAAGGGGACCTGGCTGAGCCAGGCGGAGTCACTCCCTCGGGCCCACAGGTCAGGGGCGGGTAGAGCAGGCACCACGGCCCAGGCTCCTGTGCCAACCGAACAGCGCCAGCCTGCTCCATGTCAGTTCTCTCTGCATTGGGGAAAGACCACCATTTCTTAATGTGCAAGACCCAGACCATGGTCAGCAATCTTCTCCCATGAAGGGTCGGGCAGGAAACTTTTGAGGTCTTGTGAGCCAGTCCCTGCTATAACCACACCACTCTGTCATGGTAGCACCAAGTGGCCACAAACAACGCGTAGACAAAGGGGCGTGGCTGCGTATTAGTCAAACTTTATTTAAAAAAAATAGGCAGCGGGCCAGGTCGAGCTCGTGGGCCTTCGTGTGCCAACTCCCTGACCCAGGGCTTATAAGAACTGGCCCTGGAACCAAAATTCCTGGGTTCGAATCCCAGCTCTGCTGTTTTCCAGCCGTGGGAACTTGGGCAGGTTTCTTCATTTCTCTGTGCCTCAATTTTATGACAAACGTATTAGTTTGTTAACAAAATTAAGTACTAATCTCTGTTAATAGTTCAAGATTAAATGAATTAAATTTTGTGTAAAATGCTTACAGAAGCGTTTGACCCATTGTAGGCATTCAGTAAGTGTTTATCATTATTATCACTCAATTTACAGCAGAAGGGGGCGCCTGGGTGGCTCAGTCGGTTAAGAGACTGCCTTCGACTCAGGTCATG